ATGTCTGTGTGTGCCCAAACTCCTAGGAGGAGAATGGAGAAGGGGTTGCAGCATAGCTATCTCCCCTAGGGGGTGATTTCTCACTCTCCCTCTCATTGTCTCTCTCCAACAAGTATACATACCTTATGGCAAAACCTAAAAAGAAATAAAGAAATAAAATTGTCTTAATCACAGGCTTTCTAGAATATATGAGGTAAATAATCTTATAGGAAATTCCAAAAGACAATCCCAATTTATTTAAGGTTGTTGAAATTTTCTCCTGGTACTTGTTTTGGAATGAAGCGAGCCATCAAGTTGCCCCGGGCCTGGAATCCTCTGGCTTCCACCTCATTTTTTACAGTGATGGAGCCATCGTGCCTTGCTGTGGGCAAAGCTGTGTATTTATGACCAGGAGCCTGCAAATAAATCAGGGCAAAGGACCTTTTGCCCAAAAGGCAAAAGAGAATGAATGCCTCTCCCTGACATGTCGGGAAACAGCCAGTGAAAACTTTCCAAGTCTCATTTTATCTGGGCATTTCATGCAGATTGTGTCTTTCCAGTTCTCTGGTATAACCTTTCATAAAAATAATGCACATTGATTTTTTTTCTCATTATACATTGCAAAACATTTTGAAATGGCAGACTGGGAGAGCAAAAAGACAAAATTTACTGGGAATCTACCACCCAGGTTGGAATTTGCCAATCCTAGGGTATCACTGTTTTATTTTGGGTCCCCAAGTCCACCTGCCCTCTAGGTCCAGGCAAGCAGCATGTGTTAGTCAGCCTGGCCCCTGCTGGGCGAGCTGGCCATGGCACCCTGGAGCCACTGTGCCAAGCTCCAGCACATCCTGTGGGAAGGTGGACTCAGAGTTGCTGACCAGATCTGGTTTTCTCGATGCTCACCTTATTTGAAGAAGAGACATGCATTGGAGCCAAGTGAGCGTGTCTGTGGCATCCTGTAGATGATCGTGTTGCATCCTGATGATTTCTTCAGAGAAGTAACCTTTTTCATTACTTAAGTGCCAGATACAGCCAAGATGAGATGCCAGAGGACTTGCCTTCAGTCCTGGGGTACACGTCGCCTGGGTGTTCAAGAAAAAAAATACTTCTGGAATGTTCTTAAAGTATGGATTATGAAGTATATGTCAGGCTCTGTGTTAGGCACTGAGCATTTGGCCATGACTTAGACAGACCAGGCCCCGACCTCAAGGCCCTCCTGTTCCAGTGTGAAGACAGCCAGTAACTAAGCACAAGCAAACCAGAACAAAAGATCAGTAATGATAAATGCTCTGGTAAGCAGGAAATTAAAGTCAGGTGACAGTGATGAGATTGACTTAAGATTTAGCAATCAAGGTCACCCTTTAAACAAAAGGTTAAGACAGAGCCAGGCATGCAGTCATGAGAGGAGAGCATTCCCATCAGGGAGAATATCCTGTGCAAAGGCCCTGAGGCAGAAATGAGTTCAGTATGTACAAGAATCCAAAATAAGGTGCCCGAGCCTGGAAGGTGGTGGATTTGGGCAGAGGGGATAAAATGAGTTCAGAGAAAGAGGCAGGGCTGTGTAGGCAGGCAGTTAAGGAGTTTGGATTTGATAGCAAGCCTCAGACAAACTGCTTGTGCCTTTTAAGCAAGGGGCATATGATTATTGTAAGAACAGGGTGGACAAAATGAAGAGGGGGCTAAGTGAGGAAGCGCCTGCAGAGGTCCAGTTATGGAACAATGGTGACTCAGACCAGGATGCTGACCTGCATAGGAGAGCAGAGGGTAGGCACAGGTGAGACGAGATTTCTGGATAGAAGGTGAGTGAAAGCAAGCAAGGATTAACTCCTGGGCCTAGCTGTGGTAGTTCAGGCAGCAGGGGTGCTGCTTCCCTAGGACAGATGGGAAGGTTCCGGGTTCATATCCCCAGTCATATAAACACATAGGTGCATGTGTGCTTGTGATCCTGGCTAGCTGCAGGGCTCAGGAAAGATCGCAACATGAAGACCCTGCCAAGGGTGTCTCTCTATCTCTGGAAATATATAACATTTTAGAAAAAAGATTAACTCCAAGATTTCTGGCATATTTGACCATCACTCATTTTCTCAAACCGTGGCAGCACTCAATACAACTGACCATGCATATTCTTCTTTTGCATCTCATAACAACAAACTCTACTGCTTTCTTGTACTCTCCCTGGCCCCATCTACTTTACAGAGGAATATCAACCATGTATTCCTTGTTGGTTGCCAGAGTTATGCTGTGTAACAATCCCCAAGCCAGTGATTGAAACAGTATTTGCATAGCACCATGCTATAGGTCAGCTGAGCAGTTTTCCTGGCCCACTCCTACATCTGCAGCCCATTGCCAGCTAGGAGGACGGGTCTGTGCTCTTGGCTTCAGCTGGGTCAAACCGGAGTGCTCAACTCTGTTCCAAGTGTCTCACCCTGCATGCAGTAGGCTCACTCAGCCAGGCTGTCATGGTGCTCACAAGAGAGTGAGTAGAAACGTTCAAGGCTTCTTGAGTGACTAAGCACTGACATGACACCTCATCCACCACCTTCTACTGCATCAGAAATAGGGCCCAGATGGTAGCACCGCAGTAATATGTGATGCTCTGCATAGCAATCCTACGTGGAAAGGTTCCTGGTTCAACTGTGGAGACCTCCTTGAGTACACCAGGCACTTCATGCTGGTGATCCAGGGCTGACTGGGGATGGGTCGTGGCATCAGGATTGTCGGCTTTGCTGTTTCTCTTTCTTTCTGTGTGTCTCTCTTACTCACTGAAGAAATAAACTTTTGTTTAAAAAATGAGGTCCAGAGGCCAGCAGGTGGCATGGACGTTAAGGCAACTAGATTCCACATAGCCAATGGTGCCGTCTAAGTCCCAGAACTGGCAGCTTGAAAAGCATGCCAGGTGTGTATGCATGCCTGCTCAGAATCCCTAGAGGAGAATGGAGTAGAAGGGATCACGGATGGCCATTCCCTCAGGAGGTGGTTTCTCACTTTCCCTCTTTCTCTCTATCTCTGTCTGCCCCTCTCCAGTGAGCACATGCACCCCATGACAAAACTAGAAAAACAATGAGATAGAAAAATAAATTCTGCCTCATTGATGGGAGGAAACCTTCAAAGTCACAAGGAAGAGCACATGGATACAGAAGACGTGGGGACATAGATGCAGGTGGCTACCGACCTACGACTGACTGTATCTGTGCTCTCTACCACGTAGCTGCTAGCCACCAATGGCTAGTTAAGTTTAAACTGGATAGAACTGAGTAAAATGTAAAAGTTCCTCAGTCCCTCCAGCCGCATTTCAGGTGCTCAGTAGTTTCACATGGCTAGAAGGCACCACACTGGACAGACGGATGAAAGACATTTCATCATTACAGAAAGTGCCGTGGGACAGCCCTGCCTAGCCTTAGCTGTGAAGGTACAATGGCAGCACCGTCCAGAGCTTACCACGCCTGCAGTCTAGACCCAGAGTGGGTTTGAATGAGCCGGGAATGCCCAGGGCTCTTCAGGCCGTGCAGGCTCTTTTCTCAGAGCCCCTGGAGGCATCCCAATAACAAGGCGGTGATTTCAGGCGATGTGTAAACACAGGAAGGCGGCTTCCCTAACCATTATAATTGGACATAAAGACTTAAAACTCCAGAGCGGGACCAGAGGGAAGGCTGCGTTTAGCTGAGCAGGGACAGTGATTTGTGGAATGCTGTTATTAAGGAGCCACAAGCACCCTCTTAGTGCTGTGCAATTTACACATTGCAGGAGCGCCAGCTTTTTATTTTACAAGTAGGAAGGAAAAGGAGCTGGGCTCCTCTGCTGCTCTCTGCTCCCTCCCCATCTCTGGGTATTTCTGCTTAGTTTCCCTGACCCTTTCAGACAGGAAGCCTTTGTGAATCAAAGACCTATATTTTATAACGAGCTACATGAGTGTGCCTGTGTGTGTGTGTATTTTTATCTCAGATGGTCGATCATTTTTAGAGATGACATCCAGTGTGGGGAGGAGAAAAAACCGTGAATCCATACTTCTGATAAGGTTAGGCAGCAGACATAAAGAGCCCTTGGAGGTTCAAAAGGAATAACTGGCCCCACTGTGACGGTGTAAGCTGCTGATTGACTGTATTCTGCAGATTGGAACCACATGAGAGACCTGGGTTTAGTCCCAGTCCAACTAAAGGCCTGGTGCAGTTGTGTGCACCTGCAGTCCCAGCAGCTTGGGGAGGCTAGGGCAGGAGGATTGTGAGCTGGAGCTGGAACCAGGCCTGGGCAACATGGCAGGACCCTGTCTGAAAAAGCCCACATGGTGGCACAGGCCTGTTATCCTAGCTGAGCAGCTGACGCAGAGGATTGTGATGGGAGTACCCTGCCTTAAAAAAAAAAAAAAAAAAAAAAAAAAAAAAAAAAAAAAAAAAAAACCAGCAGAGGGTT